GTCTATTTCGACACCATAATATCAGATTGGGGAGGTAGATTAGAATTAGTGATAGATAGAAAAGCAAAGATACGATTTCGTGTGAGTAGGAAACAAGAACTATCTATTCTAGTTCTATTATCCTATATGGGTTTGAATATAAGAGAGGTACGACATATTTGTATTATTGGGATAGATACACAAATCACTTGAATATAAGAAGTCGGTTAGACGGATTTGGTCCGAGTGAAAAAAAAAAGCAGAAAAAATTAATTTGACAACGTTTTTTTGGAGAAATCTGGAAAGACAAATAAGGCATTCATATTGATACCACCAGGAGGGGAAAAACAAAATCCTAAAGAATACAAGAAACTAACAATTGGCTCTATATCTGCTTCCTTTTCACCGTTCCCGTTCCGCATATGCTTCTAGCGTCATTGGCACTTTACTCTCCTCTTGTTCTTCATTGGATGATTCAGATGGACTTCATCATTCTTTCTCAACTAAAATAGAAAAAGGTTTTCTCACATCAAGATGTCAATTCGTTTTACGCCCTTAATGGGATAGGGAATCCAAATTTCTAAATTAAGATCTGACTCTAGCTCGTGTCATTCCAATAACTAGCAGGGATCCCCTCAGTACACGATCAAGTAATTGAGAGTCCTATTACACTTAATGCCAACTTCAGTTCACCAAACACCAAGGTTCATTTCTCATGTAGCGGTTGTGGACTCGTACACTGATATTGAGTAGACGGTTGATGTATAAGAAACCTACTCCTATCAAAATGAAAAGCAGCAAGCTGAACTTGAATTGAAGAAGTGAGCCTCTATCAGAGGAAAGGAAGTCATTGCACGTTCTTTTAAGTTAAATGAGGAACTCACATGAGGGAAAGGGACTAGGACCTTCAACTTCCAAGATATATCATATAATATAGCATTTTGCCCTGAAGAAGGATTGGAATTATTATTCCTTCGGTCCATAAACGCAATAATTGTGAGATGACATACATTGGCTGATGAGGCTAGTAGGGCCCTAGTCTTGTAACCATTTATAGAGAATTCCTAACTAAGAAGTCTCCACGAGACGAGCATAACAATATTATTTGAACTTGAAAGAGAAGTGAATTTGTGAATGGTTAACTAAACATTCAAGATTGGATTCAAAAGTTGAGGAGACCAGAAAGGAGGCAAGCGGAGTGAGGCCACTTTATAGTCCATCTACCCAAGAATTTCATAGAGATAAACGATTCACCTCCCTTCTAAGCCTTTAGAGGATTATAGGAATCATCGATGAAAGTGTTACTTACTTACTTACGAAGATCGACTAGATAACCTTCTAGTAATAGAGTGGTGGCGCTACTATCTTATCTTATCCCTTCTTCATCTACTCTGTCCCATGGCTGGTCATTCGGTTCAGTCAAGTTCATATGATCTCCAACATGTAAGTAAAGAGAGACGGTAGCATTCCTTTGGCTTTCCATTTCCAACAAGTTTGGGATAATCTAGAAGACTAACTTCTTCCCCTCTTACGACTTCAACAAGGTGTCTATTATGAGGCTTAAGAGAATGGAGCAGCCAAAGTATGAGTTAACTCCCTTCTACTTCCAGGCAATAGGACTAAACCTAAAGTATCTTGTCTTCTCTTGTACTGACTTATTTTTTAGTTTCCTTTGACTACCAGGTAATTTCTCATCTAAAGCATAATTGGATGAGCAACACCTCATTTCCTTGCATTAACGCCCATTTTTCCACATCTACATCAGGGAGAGAGAAAGTATAAATCAGAGCTTTAGGCTTTTGAGCATTTCTTCTAAGACATAAGCCTTTACTTAAACTTGAGTGGTTGTCTGGAACTGATACTATAGCCTAGGGGTGCAGTCCCTTCTTTTTAGCACAAATATCCATCTTCTATACCATGCTCTTACCATGGAAACAACTAGGGACTAGTAAGTCCTGCCAATATCAGGGAAGAAGTGGCTCTCAAAAGGCTTCCTTCTTTATCTAAGCGACTAATATGCTTGAGTGGCTAAGGCACATGCTATCGAGGTTACACGCCTTGTCTCGAAACCACATCTAGCAGATGTGATTTTCTGGATGTAGTTGGATGTGATTATCGGTGGAAGTATAAAATGATCTCCTGTCAATAGTCATAGGGAATTACACTATAGCTTTAGAACCTGACTTGTAATAGGTGGTGTAAATGTCTTATTATAGGATGAAGATGATTACTCACCAAGAAAACGGTCTACTCGAGCAGTAAGAGTTGACTCAATTGCCAACGTAAGACCATATGTGACAACAAGACCATCAGTAGTAGTCGATTAAACATTGGATGCGTTGAGGAGATTATCCCTAATCGAAGACCCGATACTCTCAACCAAGAACTTCTATGTATAACACCAATCACGGAACAGGAGCATGAGCTACACACATTATCAGCTAGCGGACACAAACAAATTGGGACCTTCTTCGATAGTATTTTTCATCATAATATTGAAAGTTTCCCCGCCCGATGTTTTATTAATATCAGAGTTGATATCAAAATGAAAGGGAAAGACAATAAGAAAGATTCAAGATAAAGACTAGAAGAAGGGGCTTTCTTAGAAGAATTCCCACTTGGACCGGTAGTAAGAAACTAAGAACCCAATCTCAAGATACTAATTGCCAATGTTCGATTTGATCGGAGAGGATCGCAACTCAAGCACAACTAGAGTTTACTCACCCACGTGTCCAATACTTGATGTGATGCTAGTCTCCAATTTGGAGGGACGTGTTGGAGTTTGAACTATTTCTCCTGAGTATATGTAAGAACATTCTATTTCTCTTGTCTAACTCTTAATTTTAAAAAGTACTAATGGGGTTCCACGTATATTCCCACATATAACCAGAATGTTTCATTATACATATTGTAAAAAGTAGGTATACAAGTACAAACATCAAAGAAACAAAAAAGACAAAATAGAAGTAAGATGACAAGAAATACTATCTTCAATAAAAGAAAATCATTATATTAATGTTTGTTATAGTATTAATATTTTGATAATAGATATGTTAAAACAATTGTCCGAAATTTTTTAAGTTATACTCGATTAAATATAATTTTTAAGTAAACTAGAAGGGTATTCGCGTAATGCAGCGAGATATATCTTGATTTTAATATTTCATTTATTTTTTATTTCAGTCGATATTATAGTATGATCTTATGTGATTTTTAAAAAGCGATTATGATTTTATTTTTAAATAAAATATAAACTTGAAGATATCATAAAAATTTGACAAAAATATATCGATATTAGTATCAAATTAACTATTTAAAATTCATATTTTTTGTGTAATTTTTTAATTCAATTTTTTTAATTATAATTTAATTTAGGTTCAATGACGAAGTAATTTATATTTGGTTTAATAATATAATTTTCTTATAAAAATAATAATTAATTATTTTGTTATAACTCGATAATTATCCTAATTATATTTTAGATTTTTTATATTTTAAAATGAGATGTTTATCCTCTATTTGTTTATGTTTATCCGCAGTTAGTTACACGAATTCAAAAATAGAGTTTTAATAAGTTGTACTTATGCATAATTTACTTGTAATCTTGAATTTTAAGTAACATGCATCAATATATAGTACTTCATACATAAAAATAGGTTTTTAAGAGTTTTTATCAAATATTTTATAATATAGTATAGATATGACATTTAAGAAATCGTTCATACAATGAGGAAAATTTCAAAATAATTGAGAAAAATAATGACATATAAAACATTAAATTGTATATACATGCGTTGTTGTCATCTATACCACCACACTATTTTGCTTCATAAATTTTGTACTTGTAGTGATATGATAGGTGCATATTTGTGAAAAAATTGGTAGTAAATTGTAATTGTATTCATATTACCTATACATATATTTGTCATGTATGTATAAATTTATTTATACACAATATATATATATATATATATATTATGTATCTAGTATAAACTTAAAATCATGTGAGAACAAATAGTTTAGTGAGAATTTTCTCATCCTTTGAATGAGCTCTTTTATCTGATATCTCACAAAAGATGCGTATCTTCAATTCATCCTCCTTCACCTTCACATACATTTAATCATTTGCATCCATTTTCACATACTTAAGTAACCTGCATATGCATAAACTTGTTAAAGTGGTAGTAATGAGGATACAAATGAGAATGTAGAGGTAAATGAATGTAGATGAGCATACCATTTTCACAAGAAAAAGTCATTTCCACCAAAACCCAACTCTCTATATATATTAGTTGTGTACTCGTACATGATATCATAATAAATTTGAACAAAATGTACATAACAATTTGTAACAGTGAACACCTACATATAAATGGATAATACGCTAGTTTTTTTCTTTTCTAAACACAGGCTCATAGAGTGAAAATCCGATGCAGTATTATTTCAGTGACACAATTAATCTCACAAGCTACCTCCAATTACATTCACACTCTTCAAATATTTAACTTGCGGTTCTACTTTATATAATAGAACAACAAATAAAAAATCAAATATGTAAATGTATTTAACCGAGGCGCCTTGAAACCAAAAACTTTGACTCATGTTATAGGCATCTAAACACACTTAACCGAACCCTGTGGAATCAGCTCAACTGACAATAAAATTTGGACCTTTACAGATCCTTCTCAGAGGTCTTCGGTTCGAGTCCCGTCACTAGATATTTCCTTGATTGTTCTCCAGCCCCTGGAATTAGTCGACGTATACACAAACTGACCACGATACCCAATAGTTAAAAATAATAAACACTTGTGTTAACTTTTGTTGCATAAAAATTCTGAACAAACATTAACTATTAACACATCAATAATTTATATTTTAACAATCATTAACGTTACATTCTTGAAATATAAGAGTTTTTTAACAAATATTTTAATAATAATAATAATTTTGGAAATAAAATGTTATTTTAGTTAAAGTATTTTTTTTAAATTACAGGAAAAAGAAGGGAAAATATATGAGAATTGCAGAAGAGAAATATGAAGATATCTCATGATCCATCATCAATTCAGTCTCCTCTTTGTCTCATAACACAATTAATCCCTCTTGAAATCTCATGAACACTGCCGCCATTGTTATGGAACCCCAAGCATCCTAATAACCCTGATTTGTACGGCAGGAATGTCTTCTTCTTCATCTCCTCCGCCACCGCCCTGTTCGCCGTGTAATGTATCTCATGAGCAGAAACCTTCCTCATCACCCTCCTACCGTCCCGACTTCTAAAGCTTGACTTCTTCACCACCTCATCCTCATCGCTTTTCCTTATCCTCGAGTATTTGTTCACTGGCTCCTTGATCCTCCTCGCACTTCCCTCCGACGCACTTCGGAACAAGAGCAGATTCTTGAGGTTCCACTTGTTGTACCACGTTAACGACGACGACGAAGAATGAGTGATTGAGTTTTTCTGATGATGGGTCTCTTCGTCGGATAAAATATCGGAAATTCTGAACGATGATGATGATGCTTTGTCTCTGGTGGTGGTCGTTTTTTCCCTTCCCCGCTTGGATGGATTTTGATCACCAGCTGTTTGATTTAATGCCGATGTGAAAGGATCCAAATCTTTCTTCTTAGACCGGGGAGAAAACGCTTTTTCTGTGAAGCGTGAATGATTTGAAACAGGCTTCAATGGCTTGATCTTACCGCAATGAAAGAGTTCGTCGGCTGCTGAGATAGAAGGCGGTTCCAGCCGTCCACTGAAATCGAAAGCAAAATCATCTTCATCTTCATCTTCATCTTCAAAGAGGGGTTTTTTCAAAGGATCGGTGGGAGAAGCTGGAGAGGAGTTGATTAGAAGAAATTGATGCGTAGGGCTGGTGGGTGCGCTGTAGAAGAAAGTGGGAAATCGTTGAGGGGTGGAAGGTGCGGTGGCGTAGGGCGTAGTGTTGGTGCTTTCGAAGTTGAAATCGACCGCCGGCGATGGCATCATGAGTTGTACCTCCATGTGAACTGGATGTAGTTGCAGAGATGGAGGGAATTGAAGTCACCAAAAACCGGCTTACTTTGGTTTTATTGTGCCCAATTTGTATATATGTATTTCTAATGTGAATTTTGAGTTTATATCCTTAAAATAACTTCATTATGTAAATAGTATCCTTAAATTTTTGAATTCTTGGAAAACTATGTATTTAACTTTTTCTTATCTATACTATATTATAAAACATTTGACAAAAACTCTTAAAAACCATTTTTTATGTATGAAATATTGTTTATTAATGCATATTACTTGAAATTAAAGATTACAAGTAATTTTATGTAAGCATAACTTATTAAAGCTTTATTTTTAAATTCATGTAACTAACTGTTCATAAACATAATCAATTACAGGATAAACATCTATTTTAAATATAGAAAATCTAAAATATAATTAAGATAATTATTAAGTTCTAACAAAATATTTAATTATTATCTTTATAAAAAATTATATTATCAAACCAAAAATAAATTACTTTGTTATTAAATCTAAATTAAATTATAATAAAAAATCTATACTATATCATAAAGCATTTGACAAAAACTCTTAAAAACCATTTTTTATGCATGAAGTACTGTTTATTGATGCATATTACTTAAAATTTAAGATTACAAGTAATTTTACGTAGGTACAATTTATTAAAGCTTCATTTTTAAATTCATATAACTAGTTATTGATAAACATAATCACATACAGAATAAACATTCATTTTAAATATAAAAAATCTAAAATATAATTAAAATAATTATTGAGGTTTAATAGAATATTTCATTATTATCTTTATAAAAAATTATATTATCAAACCAAAAATAAATTACTTTGTTATTAAATCTAAATTAAATTATAATAAAAAATTGAATTAAAGAAGTTACACAAAAAAAGAACTATTAAATAGTTAATTTGATATTGTTATCGATTTATTTTTTACAAATTTTTATGATATCTTCAAATTTATATTTTAATTAAAAAATAAAAACATTACCGCTTCTTTAAAACCACATAAAATCGTATTATATCAATAGAGACAAAGAATAAAAACTAAACATTAAAATCGAAATTTATCTCGCTGCATTCCGCAAGTACCCTTCTAGTATTATAAAATACATCACCCTCACTTTTGACTTAAATGTACAACTCTTATTTCATCATACATGTTGCAACTAAGGAATCCAATAACAATTACGATCTACTGTGATATATCTCAATTTTTTGCCGACATATTATTGATAGAAGATCGAAGTTTGGCAAAAAGAAATCAACTTACCAATATACAAGACCAACAAGTAGTATAGTTCTATAAATAATCAAATATTGATTTGACATCAGAGGCAGAATACAAATGGACTGGATCAACAATAGTGAAAGGGCCCAAAAGAATTTTATACTTAAAACCTTAATGAGCTGGAGATTCTTCACTCTATCAGGGAAAAAAAGCCCAGGGGCCAAGGCCCCTATGGCCATCTGCCCTTGTCTTACATGAACTATCCTACCCCTTTAGTGGTGAGTTTAGCGATTGTTATTACAAGAAAACAAAGCTTTAGTGATCCCACTTATAGCGATGACGTGTGATCAGTTGCTATAAGCAATTGCAGCATGTTATTATAGACTCACGGAGTGACGGTGAATATAAATAGTTAAGAAAAAAAGAAAATAACATATACTGACAACGAGTCATCTTTATAGGCTTTAATATTTAGATGGTAAAAATTCATCAGCATTCAGCGACAGAACAACCAACCAATATTTAATCAAGCTATAGAAATGATAAGTCCTTGCTAAATGATGTTAGATTTTTGCCACCGAAATATTAGAGTTTATAGATATAACTCTTGATACTTCTTGCACGTTCCTTAAACTAAACACCTAATACCTTATTTTAAGTTATTGATATATTGTGTTTGTATTTTTAGGCTAGCTGATCAACCTTCCATTATTGACGTCCATCTCTCCTTTTCTCCGAGGTGTTATTTTCCAATTTTATTAATCGAAAAAGATCTAGAAGTCGAGAGGGAAACTGTACTAATTTAAACATTAGAGATTATATTGATATGTGAATGTACACTAAGCTTAAGCATAGAAACTCGAAGTTTTGCTTTCTATTCGCTTTAAATAGACATCAAATATATACTTAAAATGAAAATAAGAGTAAATTACATTTTGGGTCCTTATAATTGTCATTCACCATCAATTCTAGTTCCTTTTTAAACTAATACAGTTTTGATCACTGTGGTTGTCATTTTGTTTCACTTTTGGTCAATATGATTGCCATTTGGTTTTGATTTTGGTCCATCTCTCTAACAATTGTTAAAATAAATTGTGATTAGGTCTTTTTACACTATTTCATTTTACTTTAATTGAAAACTATGTATATATACATATATATAATATTATAATAATAATAATGTATATTATAATAAGAAAAAACCTCACAGGTCCCAACTCCCAACCCTTACTCGTCTTTTTTTTTTCTTTTTTGTTTTTCATACATCCCTCAACCATCATGTTTCTGTTCCCACAACCCCATCTTTATCCGGTCATTTCGTCCTATCGATTTGTGATGTAAAATCAAAATCAACAAACAAAAATCACATTTTCGAAGATTGAGGCCAAAACACAGTAACTGTGAAGAGCGTCTTCCTTTTCTTTTTTCTTTTCTGGGTTTTCGATCATGGTCATTTTCTGCAATTTTGTTATTGTTGATATGATTTAAGAGACGGTTTACATAAAAACATTGAAGGTAAGTATCTTGGATGGTTTGAGATTAGGACATGTTATGGAATATGGGATGTTACATTGTATTTGTCTATTTGGGTTTTAGGGTTATGGATGGGGGAGGGAGATGAAGAAAAACAATAAGAAATTGTTAACACAGGGACTAAAAATGATAATACGTGGTAACACAGGGACTAAAACTGTAATTAGTTTAAAAAGGGACTAAAACTGATAGTACGTGATAACACAGGGACTAAAAGTGTAATCTATTCTAAAAATAATGTTTAGTAGTAATACATTTTACATTTAAAATAGTTTTTTAGCAAGTCTTTTGCTTTTCTCTTGGAGAATATTATGAGTAATGCATCCTTTTGAATAAATAAAAATGTGGAGAACATGATAAATGAAAAGTAATCATGTTTTATGGTAGTAATCATGGCATGTGTGATGATGATAATGACATATACTTTCAAAAATTCCCTTTTTTAATAAATTATTGTCCTCTGATATTAGAATTATATTTTGGAATTGTTTCCTGCATCTTTTTAATGTCAAAATTAAGTCGGATTATGAATTAAGAATATAAAAGATCAAGTTTTATTGTCAAAATTAATTCAGGTTATTTACAGTTAATTTATATATAAGTTTGGAATTTATGATGAAATTAACATAAGTGATATATAACTGTTATTTTCATTACAAATTCATAGCTTATGGCAGGCGGTTCTTTGGATCTGTTTTTTATGTGATTTGGAGCTATCGTAAGAAAGTGGTGCTCTCTGATCGGTTAACTTCTCAATCTATTTAACTTTCGATATCCAACTTCTTTCATATTGTTGGTTAACAAACCCTGCTAAAAGTTTTAATTTTTCTTGGACATATTGGTGTTGCAGGCCTCTTGTTTCTGAAAGTGCGTTGGCCTCTCATTGTGGCTTGGTCTCTCTTTTGGTTTTTTGGCTCAGTGGCTGGTGTGTAGGTTTTGTTCTGTTTTTTAGAATTGTTCTGACTTTGTCTCTCTTGTTCTTTTTGCTCTGACGAAATTGTTGGACTTTCAAAAAAATAAAATAAGTAAAATCCTGTGAGATTAAAACGTGTTGAACCAAAATAAAACTACGAAATTAAGATAATCCATTATTGTCATGGAAATGTTAAAAAAATTAATAACACCAATCTATCTATACTATATTATAATGCATTTGGCTAAAACTCTTAAAAACTCTTAAACTCTTAAACTCTTAAA